CGGTCCGTGACACTTGTATACTGGAACAATTATCTAATTTCGGTGCTAGTTCGCAAACTAAGACGATTCTTTCATTTCTTTCCTATTATCATTACTACTTAATGCAATTATACTCCCTTCTTGTCCTAGACATTCTTAACAATTGTAGTACGCCGCATTCCATGGCAGTATCACAATTTATCCAAGCTCGCTAAAAAAAAATTTAAATCAGTATATCTGGCAACACTGTATCAACCCGTCCGTCAATGCAACTTCATTACGTTTCTTTATGCCAGCCATCACGGTGTGTTTTTATAATTTTTGTTGTAAAAATTAAATATGTTTAGTGTAAAATCAAATATTTTGTATCCAAAACGTACTAAAAATAAATTTATTACGTATTTGCGTGGTAATGATTTGATTATGTACTTGGGAAAGGAAGATATTCAAAATGGATCCAACCGATCAATGGTTAACGAAAATCCTATTGTTCGAGGTACGTGCACGTGTATATAAAATAAATAAAGTTAAAACATTTATTAAATAATAAAATCAGATTCACTGTGCCCATTTATTAACAATTATGATAAATTATTGAACAAATTCACTATTAAGGGTAAATAACATAACCTTGTCACTCATATAATATGAAATAGTAAGTATGTATTTTAACCAATAAATGTGGGTTGAGATACATTGTAAAGAGATACGTTGAGAAATTTTAAGTGATATGTATATTAATGTTTTTCTTACTTTCATTTACTTACGTTGGGCAGCAGACCCGGAAATTATACACCCTGAGATTTAGTTGTATACCCTGAGATTACAACTAAACTTTCTTTAGTATCGGAAAATCCTAATTATGAAAAGAAATAATTGCTATAAATAAACTTAACTCATGGTTTTATTAAGATTATGTAAACCTTTAACGTCCACAAAAAATTGGCAGAACAAGTTAGAAATAATAACTGAATTCTGGGACAAAATTATCCGGTGTGTAAGGGAGAGTCAGTTTACTAGTCCTTAAAATTGTTAATTCCCAAACAAATGGGATTTAATAGATGCATTTTTAAATCTAAAGACAGTATATTATTACATATTATTTTGTAGACACATTAAATAAAAGATAAGAAGCTACATAATATGACACCCCTCTATCAGGCATTTCGGTTTTGGTAGGCCTATGTGCAGCTGTGGGCTTTTATAGACTGCAATGGATGGGTGGATAATATGACATGAAAGTAAGAAAAAATGTGATATGAGAACTGTTTTACCTTGATATGGAATATCAAAAGGTTACAAGTTAAATACACATATAATATATGATCAAACGAACTTCTCCAAGTGAAGTTCGATCAATATTATATGAATCGCTTCATTCGAAGATATAATTTCCCTCCCACCCATAACCCACAAAAAGTTTTGCTTAGAATAATATCTCTAAAAGAATGAGGCTGTACGCTCGGACGGCGAGAGACGTTGGTGGGAGGGGGGCAATTGTTTTTGATGTGGGTAGAGTAAAAATCTTTAAAGGTGCGACTTAGCCTTGTAGAATAAGGAAACTACGTTGTTAATATTATATCTTCGAATGAAGCGATTCATATAATACTGATCGAACTTCACTTGGAGAAGTTCGTTTGATCATATATAATATCTAGCATAAGTTTTTAAAATGCTATGCATTAGAGCTGTCATTTATGAGAATAGACATGGTTAACTATTCAGACCTTACCGCTATGACTTAGAAGGTAGACAGATCTTAATTCACATATAAGATGCTATCATTAGTGGAAAGATATTAAGATGGGCTAGGACTCAGAAGACATCACTGCAGGCTTTAAACCGTTAGAGTTATCACATAGAGGATAGACACGGTTGACTATTCAAACCTTAGAGCTAACACTTTGAGGTTAGACAGGTTTGAATTGAAAGCAATATCACTTGAAGGAAGACATAAGATGGACTACGGCTCGGAAGAAATCACTGCAGGCTTTAAACTGTTAGAGCTATCACATAGAAGATAGACACAGTTGACTATTCAAATCTTAGAGCTAACACTTTGAGGTTAGACAGATTTGAATTGAAAGCATTTCCACTTGAAGGAAGACATTAAGATGGACTATGACTTGGAAGAAATCACTGCAGGCTTTAAACCGTTACAGCTATCACATAGAGGATGGACACGGTTAACTATTCAGACCTTTTAGAGCTAACACTTTGAAGTTAGACAGGTTTTGAATTAACATTAAAGCGCTGTCACTATAAACTATAAAGTAGTTTTTTTCACATGAGCAGTAAATGTGAAAAAATGAATTATTTATTTTGAATAAAATAACAAATTATTATTAACACTGCCTATATAAAGATAATCATACTACTGTGTCATGTTACAGTCATCTCATAGACATCTCATACACATCATTAGTTACTATTAGTGAAGTATTTTGTTAAATATGGCACTCCAAGATTAACTCCAAAATTCATACTAAGAATTATAGTGAACTCTCCTATGTCAAATACTATAAATTATAAAATATTAAAATAATAAATTCTTTATCGTACCAAATTGTATTAAGTGTAATGAAATTCCTTCCTGGGCCATTGTGCCTTTTACTTAGGTTTGAGTTATAAAAATAGACTTAATAATAAGTTACTTTTAGATTACTAACTACAGAATATTGCAATAAATATTGAGAATACAGAAATTTACAAAACTAGTAACAAGCTGAGCATTGATGAGTTATAGGTTATAATATACATACATGGTCCTTCAACAAATATTACATTATTCAAACGGGAGCTCGGATGTATAGTTAAGATATAGATAGAATTTCACTTCAACTTTTACTTGATGATATACTATTACCTTCAAAAAGAAAAAAAAAACCATTACAGGAGCATACTACGCATCATAACTTAACAAACCGAATGGAAAAATTGCGGTAAAAAACGGCCACATTCGCATTAAAAGAAAATCCTCTGTCACTACTGGCCGTCTCACACCTCAGGGGTTGCCATGGCGAAAATCTACGAGTTTTAACTGCTTGATTATTTGCCAGTAGATAACGTATTATATACTTCATAAAACTGAAGGAAAACATATCACTTCTGGTAACTTTAACAAAAAGCGAGTTAATAATAACATATTATTATTAACTCGCTTTTTGTTAAGTTTGGGTTTTAAACTAAACTCTCGACGAGTTAGAGACTTGATATTTTGAATATAGCTCAGAATTAAATGACCACGGTTGTTTTACATAAAGACCATAGGTGCTACAAATCTGTATTTTGGCATAGTAACGTTGGCATTTGGCATGGTATAATTTTATTTTGGGTACCTCCCATACACGTAAAAAGGAGGATTTTTTTACCGTTGGATAGTTATTTCCATAATATTGGGCGGTAAGAAACAACAGTTTTTCGATTCAGGGGTCCCTTTATTTTTTATTATCATCTATCCATTATTTATATATTATCATCTATCCATCATTTATATATTATCATCTATCCATTACAGCCTATAAAATCCACTGCTAAACGAAGACCTACGTCATAGATTGCCTGATTATTTAGCTTAAAAGTTGTATTTTTATTGGAGACATATGTTTACTAACTCACTCACGTCTAACTACAAACCCCTGTTTTTGAAAAAGTGAAAAGTATGCACGATAGTAGAATATATAATGATGTTAAGAGGAAAAATATCAAAGTTATTATTAATAAGAGCAGTTTATACAGAGTTATTTTGGAAAGAGTAGTCTAAGTTCAAATATAGAAATAACGATATACTGTTATTGCAGTTTTTGAAAATACGTAAAATAAATAATAAGTAAATAAGGCTTCTAATTTTATTTGAAATTATCCCAAATTGAATGTGATTTACGGGCAACAACGTTTTCGCCTACCTAAAAAGGACAGAAAGTTTAAAATTTTTTAATTTACTTTTCTTCACTATTTTCTGATATAACTTATCCTACACCTTCTTTGCAAATTTAACTGGTTATCGCAAAATAATAATACGAGTACAAGTAGACTTAGCAAGTTATCGAGTCGTTACTACGACCAACTTATAAAGTGCACTTGCATTAGTTAAGATTTCGTTACAATTCCATATAAAATTACTTAATACTAGCTGCATTATAATTTTATAATATTATTGTAAACTGTGAGAAATGAACATTTTTGAAGAAAATGACTTATGCATGCCTACTGGAAAAAGTAAGCGGTCAAGTCAAAGTCATATATTTCTGTATAAATATGATAAATATTTTATCAAAATCATATAAACGTATAATTGTAGCTTCATTTATTCGATTTATAAACTTTTTAATTATGCAGATATTGTAAAATCTATTTGCGTTATAAATTTGTTATTTCGGACTTTGAAACATAATCTCGTCTGCTCGGCGCTGTGTGAAGTGCATGTATGCAGCTTTAACGACATAGACTTATACTATTATATCGATCTTTATCGAGAGATTATTGACCTTTTGAGGCGATAATGTTTATATCATAGTGAAATGTAACAATTGCAATGTCGTTATTAACGAGTCGCTCGCTTTCGTTCAAAACAAGGTGAAAATCGTGGATGAAGACAGTATCATTCGATTTTGCACTACTGGTTTTAAAGAGGAAAAAATAACAATTGGAAAGAAACTATTATTCGAGTCCGCTGACACATCTCTACGAATAATTAAGAGAAGGAAGGAGGGCAAAAATCGAAGAGATCGAGGATATCATGCCACTGATTAAGGAATCAGATCCCAAGTTGTTGCCGATTTCAGTATCCAGACATCTCCATAAGCTTCCGTAAGTAACTTTTGATCACATTGATGCTACTAGGCTCATGGGAGATATTTGTGAATTAAAAGATGATATGGCTGTAATTGAAGAAAAATACATAACAAAGGATGCTATTACCAACATGAAGATATGGACTAACTTCTGTTACATAAGCATCAATATAAACAATTCAAAAGAGGAGCATTTTTATTAGATAAGAATTTTGAGCACGAGCCGGCATGATGAAGGGGTCAACGACCACAGCGATGGACAGATGTGCGGAAGTTGTAAACGAGAGACCAAATGACACTATCGTTTCTCTGGCGCACGCTGACCAGTGTGCGTCATCAGCGCTTAAATATGCAGGGAATGACGAAGTTAGTGTAGATGGGAGGGGCAGTGTTGAATGCGTGGAAGCAGGTACCGTGGTTTTGACAAAGACAGACGTTAGCGTAACAACGACGACAATACTGGTGGCTGCGAAAACCAGTAAAGCAAGAAGGAGGCCTCAAGAAGTACTGAACTTTGGTACAGTGACACGTGTAGAATCTCAGTTGTTGACACCGGAACAACACGAGCGTAAGCGACTTGACGATGTTGTGCGTGAAAGCGGTAGTGGGAGAAAAGAGTCGCCAAATGAAAGGTGGATTAAAATACAACGTAGAAGGTTATAAAACCGTTTTGTTGGCTAAAAGGCAAGACTTAAACAGTGCATCAGAGTACGTTCAAAGCAGTGGATATCAAGGTTCCTTCTTATATCTATAATGTTAACAAGGTAACAAAGATGGAAGATACAGTTACATATATTCAAAACAAAGCTAATATAGGGGTTTCATTGCATAAAATAGATATTAAGAGGAAATGTTTGTTCCTCTTCACTTTCTTTTCCATTTCCATTTGTTCCATTTCATCAAGATATCTACCGGTCACAGCATCCACTTACCATCAGGTGGACTGTGTGCTCGTTTAACACCTTGATTTCATAAAAAATAGCATTAGTTATGCAGATGATATGGTGGTGCTGAGTCCCTCGATTGATACACGCAGACATCTGCTTGGAGTGTGTGAAAGGTACGCCATGTCGTATGGCCTCCTATATAATATAAAGAAGAGTGAGGTTATGGTGTTTCAAGTGGGTACAAAAAAGCAAAATATAGTTCCTGCGGTGTGCCTTTATGGTGTAGCACTCAAGAGAGTGGTCCGATTTAAATACCTTGCCCACATAGTTAATGAAGATTTAGATGATGACGATGATATAGAGAAGGAGCGAAAAGTATTGTCGGTACGGTGCAACATACTGGCCCGCAGGTTTGCTTATTGTAGGACAGAAGTGAAAATTACTCTTTTCAAGGCGTTTTGCCAATCATTCTACACGTGAAGCCTGTGGGTTCGATATACGCAGCGGGCCTACAATGTTCTTCGTATGCAATATAATAATGCATTTAGGGTGCTGTGGGTCTTTTAAAGATCATGTTGTGCATCAGGCATGTTTGTTGAAGCGTTAACGGACAGCTTTCAAGCTATTCTGCGAAAAAGAACGACATTGGCCGTTCCTACAGCTCTGGACACGTATACACTGCTGCAGGTCTGGTATATAGTGGGAAGTGGGGAAGAGGTATATGAATTAATTTAGTTATAATTCGTTAATGTTGTTACTAAAATAGCTAAGTTTATAATTACACATATGGATCATGGCCCGAAATAAATGATTATTATTTTTACTACTACGAGTACTATGGCTTTACTTTTTACCGATTTCAAAAAGGATATTCTATAAAAAAAACTCCCTATAGGTCTGCTAGGAAAATAAGTCCTTCAGCTACCATAGTACTATTTTTAGTCGTTATAGAAGTCAAACCACTTTCATTATCATCATCATCAATTACAGCGCTTCACAAGTCTACTGCTGAACGTAGGTCTCCTCCAATAAATGTCAAAAAGCACAGTCCTGAGCCATCTGCATCCATCGATTATCTGCATGTCTTACAATATCGTCACTCCATCTATTTGATGGACGCCCGACACTTCATATTTCGGTACGAGGCTGTCACTCAAGAATATTTCTGAGCTATATGGTCGGCCCATTGCCATTTCGGCTTATTAGTTTATTGGACTAAGTCAGTCACATTGGTTCTACTGCGGCTATCCACATTTCTAAGTTTATCACGTAGACCCTGAGAATAGCCTCCACAGTTTGCTGAGCGACCTTGAGCTTTTGCATACGGCCAGCAGTGAACGACTACGTCTCAAATCATAAACCATTACAGTAAACACACAATAGTTTTACAATCTTGTTTTGAAGTTTTAAGGTATGCTTGACGAGAATTTACTCAATTAATATGCTCATATTATCAGAAAGACCTCTTCTAAATTAACGTATTGTGAATGGCACCTACGGGACCATACCTCTACGTTGTGAGTGGCCCGAGACGCTCTTGGCTAGTTTTTTTTTTACTTTTTTATCATCCAGTAAAATCCACTGATGTACATGGGCCCTTACTATTGTAGGCAAGATGTGCATTATTTATCACGCTTGGCAGGCTGATTGGCAATTTCAGTAATAGCCGTCTCGCAACTTTGACGCTGCTTCTCTTCGCCAATCTAGCTATTTAATGTCTGGCATGACCGAGCTATACCGCCATATATCAGAAGCCTAAACAATATAATTTGAATTGCTAGTAGCATCATTCGAGTACACCGGGAAAAATGGGGTAATAAATTCTTATACGCCGCTACCAGTGGTTGTAAATGTGACTGCTGTTCATAAGGTCAGGCCAGTTTTTTGTCAATAAACTCTGAGTAGCTGCCCGGAGTCAGGAAATTGTTGGTATAGGATTGCCGTCCCATCGGACTTAAGAGAGCGAGATAATTGACAATGTATATGAACTTGCGTATACACTTGGCTCTATCATCTGCATCTACATTTTGATTCTTAACCGAGGATAGATGGAGATGTCTATAGACCACAGCAACCAGTTTCTATCAGGTAAACTTTGTCTTCATTTGTCAGTTTTATTCTACAAAAAAAGTGCACCAATCAAAATTCAGGTATCCACAAAAGAATAAATCTTTATTGAGAATCCACCTCTAAATAATTTTCATAGTTACTGTCTTCCTTCAGTACAAAATTAGTATCGTTATAATGTGTAATATTTATCATAAATAACTATGTACATAAAGCAGCAGGAATTAAGCGTGGTCGTTTGTATTCATAAAGGTTATTACTGAGAACGCTGATTGTATAAATTTATCTCACAATGTTATTAACTAACATATGTATTTTCCATCCGATATTAAGGGTGATAAGGTTCTAGATAATGCAATGCATACAAGTAAAAACATTACCTTTTTTTAAAGAAACTTTACCCCACACTAGGATTTTTACGTAAGGATGTCTTACACGCTCATTTGACCGTGTGCAAACGGTGTAAGAATACCCCATATCATCCCGTGAGTTCCGTAAGAGGGGACCGAAGGAAACAAATCGGGATATGGCCAGCAGATATAGATATATGGGGGCCCCAATGAAGCTTTGCTTCAACGGTAATACCAAGAAAAACAGTGGTAACCACGAAACATAACTCCTCCCCATTTAAGAACACATTGGTATTTGAATGTTTAACATTAGGTATTGTAAATTTAATAAATTTTGTCTTATTGCCACCTAAAAGCAAATTGTTAGCGTTAAACCAATGTACTAATTTTGATAGAAAATTATGCTGCCGATTAAGTTTGCAAATTAAAGAGTTATCATCAGCAAATAATACTATATCGTGGTTGTTCCCTGCAAGATAAAGTAAGTCATTAATGTAGTAGTAGTAATTAAGAACAACAATGGGCCAATAATTGAGCCCTGATGAACGCGTCAGTCGTCGAGCGACCTCTTGTAAAATCAAATTGATTTTATGGAGTAATTTATTTTTATTAAAAAACGACAATTGATCCAAAATAATTGCTTTCAAAAATTCTAGTATGAGTTGGTAGTACGAATGTAGCTCTAAAATTAGCGGTGTCCAATGTAATACCAGATTTAAATAAACATATTACTTTACTATGTTTCATTAAATCAGAAAACGCACCCGATTTGTTGCTAGTATTAAAAATAATAGCAAGATGGGTCCCATCTTTTATATTAAATACACAATAACTGTGACGGAAATCTCTCATAAATCTGCGGTTTTCTTTACATCAAGGGATCTTTAAGTATTTAACAATATCTTGAGGTAACAGTTTTTTAAATCTAAATTCTTTAAAAAAAATTAACACTCTGTTTGAGTAATAACTTGACGATAACTGAAGAAGTATTTAATAACTCTCTAGTTAAGATAGGAATATCAGTAAAGTATTTTTCAAACGTTTCTGTGACTTCTTGATTTGATCTAGTCAATTCGTTATTAATTTTCAATTGTTTGTTTGCGTAACGAAGTTTGTCTTAACCGATTGCACTATTATTGGTGCTCCACGTCTTTTTAACTTTATTTTTAGCAGTCTTAATTTTGTTGTTAATATGAAAGTTTTGGAGTACACCCTTTTAAACATTTTAAAATAATTTTTAACATCATCTCTAAAAGTATCGGAAAGATTATATGATCATTCATGATAAATATCATATAAATGTCGTCTGCCTTTATGAATGCCTACTGTCATCTATACATTAAATGCCTTGCAACTGTTATTGCAGAATTTTTATAAGTAAATACTTTAAAAATGGTACATAATACTCTATATAAATAGTCTAAACTGTTCTTGTAAGAAAGCGATGGAAAGTTTTTACCATATTACTTCTAAATCTCTCTAGACGTTTTGCATTAATCGAAACAAACACAATACTCTCAATTTAATATTTTTTGTGCATATAGGGTAATGAAACCAGTTGTCCACAGTGACCTGAACTTAGTATTGATGGAAGAAGCTTCCAAGACATTGATGTTATAGTCTCTGCATACTACAAGAGATTTATTCTATTTATTAAGCTTAACTAAAACTTGTTCGATAATTTTTTCAAAGGTATGAGGGTATGTAAACCCTGACAACAAAGTATTAAAATTATCATTATTAGAGATTACCTTTTTTGTCTTGTTATCTAATTTAAATTACTTGGAACTGAATAAAAATCAATTGTAAAATTATTTTGCTGCTCAATAGCAGCAGGTGTCAGGGTAGCCAAAAATTTGGCTGAGTTAAAATATAAATAATAGGATAGCGTATTAAAGGTCACAGTTAATATAACATTAATTTCTTTAAATTTTTGTCTGAGCGACTCTTTAGGTTTTAAATCATAAATTGCTCTAATGACAGTCAGTCGCGTGTCTCCATAACAAAATACCATACGAGATTATGCTATAGAAATAGCTTAAGTAAACTAATCTAGCTGTTTAAGTACTGGTAGGAATTCTAATCTTTTTACAGCATATGCAGCTGAAATAAGTCTGCAAGCTATTTTTGATATATGTGAGTCCCGTTGAAGCTTTGCATCTAGTGTGATTCCAAGAAAAATCCTGGTATTAATAAGACGCAGCTCCTTCCCATTTAAAATTACATAAGTACTAACATGTTTGACATTCGGAGTTATGTATTTAATACATTCAGTTTTAGTTTCATTTAAATGCAAATTATTAAAATTAAACAAAATTACTAATTTCGATATGGCATTTTTACTTCGTCATAATGTAAT